TGCACCTTTCGCCTCTGCTTGCCTGGATTGATGCCGAAGGCTGGTCCCAGCATGCAAGGCAACCAACACGCAGTGCCCACACCCTGGACATTGCCACTGACAACAGCTATCTGAGTCTCACCAAGTTCAGGAATCTCTCCTGATAACCTATTTCAATTTTCAGCGGAGTTATCCAGTGTACTCGGCTCCCTAATGTTCTTAGTATACAGTTATAATGTCACTGATTTGATCACCATGGATCCCCTTCTCTGTTCGCTGATATTGACATAGCTTACATGTTAAAGGCCAGTAACTCTCTTTCTACTCTTGCTAAAATCCAGTCTCGTCTGAATTCTTTATCCCTCTGGTCCTCTAAATCTTGCCTTCCTTTCGCCGTTCAAAGATGCCAAGTCATCTCACATCGATTCCAGATTCCTCCTGGGATACTTATTTCTAACGCTACAGCGTGAATTTCCGGTTCGACGACAATGGTTTCTATAACGGTGTCTTTCGGTTAAGCGTGCTAGCGCACTAGCCCGTCCAGTTTTTCCGTTGAAACATAACCTGCGGTAAGGTTGTAGCGAGCGGAATCGTGCCCCGTCTTTGTAGACGGTTGGCCGTGTAGACCGGGACACCTTTCTTGGGACCGAATTTATCCGAAAGTGGTTTGCGATCTTTCGCAAGTGTGAAGTGTCGGCCATAGAGCATTTTGTGGAATTTTTCCATCCCAAAACTGATGGATAGCGCTTCCTCCTTAGTGTGACCGTAATTCCGTTCAGCTGGAGCCAGCGACCTCGGGGGATAAACGATTGCCTTTTGCATGTCATCGTGGAATATGTGAGCAATGACTGCAACAACAACACAGTTCGATACGTCACTTGTGAAAAACACAGGCAGTCGCGGGTTGAAGTGCGTGAGTAGTAGTTCAGACTGCAGCGGTCTCTTCAATTATTCCACTACGAGCTGACAGTAGCGTGACCGATCCCATAAATATCATTTGGTCAAATAATGGTTGAGTGGTTCGCACAAACGATGCATAATTAGCATAAGTGGCTAAGAAACTCCCCAAAAGGCTTGAGTTCAGCAACATTTGATGGTGGGGCATTCTTGCAGTTGCGTCAATATTGGACTGGTCGGATCGATGGCCATTTTGGTCTATATGAAAACAAAACATTTCGCATAACTCAAGGGGAACTCACATTTTTCCTCCTTTTGCCTGAACTCAAAGTCATTTATCCGCTGAAAAACAGTGTCTGAACGAGACAGAGGCTCTTCTTTGGTGGGCACCATGACGATGATGTCCCCAAGGTATGCGGCAACTGTCAAATCACACAGTAGCGTGTCCATGATCTGCTGGAAAACGGCTGGCGCACTGCCTGTGCGCTGGGCCAATGTGCGTTTTAATCATCAGAAGGTGTCTGGACCCCTCTGCGACTTCAACTTGCAAGTATGCTTCCGAAAGTTATAACCCTGCAAAATATTTGCCGCCGTTCATTTTGGCAAAAGTATCGTCGAGTGACGACAGTGGATACTGATAACTGCCCAATGCATGATTCCATCCTGTGGAATAATCGGCACAAATATGTACCGCATCCTGTCTGCTTGACAACCGCGATTGGTGAAACCCATAAGGACTAACTCACCGGCTTTAGGGCTCCGGCGTCTTCAGGGTGTTTGGGTTTGGCATCAAGATTTGGTGAGGCTGCGTATGGCATTGGACATTTGGGCCCGGTTACTGGCCAGACATCCAGCCGCAGATAAAATTCCACTTTTGCTTTCGAGTAGAATCCAAAACCCTCTTTGGAAACGTCATCCTATTTTTGTTGCAGTTGTATAATTGCAACCTCGACTAGTTTTCTCGCCTCAGATACTCTTAAGCTTTTGGTTGGTTCTCATGTGCGCAAGTTGTCGACTGACAATTTCGAAAGACGCAAGCGATCGTTTCGGTCTATACCCAGGAGATAAGGCTCACATGCACTAAGATGGACAGTATCGCAATAACGGCGGTCTGCTACCTCCATCTTAAAACCGAATTCGTCAAGTAGTTGAACCTCACAACCTGAAGAATTTCAGGCAGTATCCGTAGGTGGTCTGAATTTCGGTGATCCGCCATTCCCCCAGGTGCGCCGTAAAACAATCGTGATATCAAAAGCCGTAACGAGCTGCATTCGAACCGTTCTTTCGATTGCTCTCATTGTAACGTGCTTGCGACGAGGATCGAAACGTTTATCAAATTTAGTAGGTATTGAGTCAAAGGGGGTTCCGACAGGCTCCGTCTACTTCCTGCCTCCGAGTATGACCTAGACCCAGACTGGTTTTTGCGTCCGGCACTGGCTTCCCTTGTGCCCACATCCATTGCACATTAAAAATTTGCCCGTTTTATAGTGACAACCGCACGGAATGCCAGTCGCGGCATTGCCAGCACGCTGGAGGACCTTTGATCCGTTTGAATTTGCCGCCATGAAGAGTCGCCTCGATGTCACCTTGGCAACGTTGAAAGTAGGGTTGTGTAAGTGTCTCTTTAACATGTCTGTGTCGTGTTAAATGTTCAGGAGGCGCCAAAACCTGTGGACAGGCGACTGCATCGGTATCTCGGGAGTTTGTTCAACCTTGTTAAAATGCCTCACTCTGATATCACTGTCTGAATGCGAGTGAATACCACAAATAAAAATAAGACGTTTAAACTGGTCCCCGGTCATGGTAGATAACTTGAATTGTTCACATTCAAGGTGGACTCTACCGATATATGTGATATAGTCCTCGGAATCCTTTTACGTAAGTTTAGGATAGCGAATATTAAACAAGGTAAAGAGCTCACCGAAAATTGCTGAGAGTTGCTGCACATTTTGTCAAACATGCCATCGTGCGTGTTGTTCGGCAGGAAGAAGTTGGAATACCGTGTGTGTTCCGTTGTGCCAAGCAAAAAACAAACTTCCCAAGCACGTGCTTCAGTGTGACTTTAGAAACATCTTCGTGACGTCTGAACCATTAATCATAGATTAGACCGGCACTGGGTTCACGATGGAACTCCGTGATTTTGATGGTGATCGAGTCAACTAAATTTGCATCTGCAGTGGATTTGTCGGTTGCCTTTTAGTTGCTGCGTGAGTGTTTTCATCAGACGTAATTGTGCCGCTTCAAACTGATTTTGTTGTTGCAGAAGAATTTCTTTCGAAGCTTCAGTAGGTATTGTCATAATCCTGTGAGTTTGTGCGTTGTCAGGTTGCCAGACTGCTGTCATCACTATACTGCCTATTGCTGGGAAAAGGCTCACCGATGAGGAACACAACGGCTTCATTCCGAAAACGTGAGTGCGTGCTAGTGCAGCACTTACAAGTGACCTCACGCTAACTGAGTTTTAATATCACCGATCCGGGCCTTTGCTAAATTGATTGAATGCTTGTTGATTGAATGCTCGATTGATCTGGATACTAGCCGGCTTTCCTACTGAGATATTGGTGGAGTTTCAGTCTCTCAGTAGGTTCCGATTTTTCTGGGGTTGCTTTCAGAGACTGACTTTCCCGGTAGCAAAATTCAGTGCTCATTTTCCTTAGATGAAGTGCAAATTAAATTCTATCGAAGCATAGAACCAGTCATTTTTATTCGAACTCCTCATGCAACGCGCGATCCGTCAGTACTTGCAAAAGCTTCAGTCATTTTTGACACACTCGTCTGCGAAATTAGTAAGCCTATGGAATGCCGCAACCAAGTACTAATGTGCAATGCCTCCCATCGCTTTCCAAAGAGCGCACAAAATCTGTGCCGAAAAAAGCTACCTGAAGGCCTTAAGCTCCGCAAATCCCGCTAATGGCCATGAGCCCTCCGTTTTTGCCTTTGAGAGATTACCTATGCCACCTCTGACATCACTCGCGACGAAAAATCACTGCTGATATGAAAGATTCGGCGCCTCACAAGCCCTCATCCGGTGCTGCAATTGAAGGTGAAAGCGCAGGCTTTTGGTCCAGACTTCCTGATATAATAAAATTATGCCACCACCCACCAGAGTGCTTCCTTGGAGTCAAACTCTTGCCGCTAAGTGCCTGGTATCAGTTCATCATCCTCACGGTTTTCGCAACCCTGGCCCTGAGCCCAGGAGTCCTAGGCGGCAGCAGTGGTTCTATGTTTTACTTCAACTTAACCGGCCAGGTTGTGGCGTTTGCGTTACCTCAGCAGATATGTTATTGTGATTTCTCATTTTCATCAATTCGAAGTACTCTGATCATTGGCTAGGATGATGCCTCTTGTTGTAGCCACCAGCTTCAAATCCTAGCGCCCTGACCTTGTCTCAGCTTGTTTTTTTCTCTGAAAGACGAATTTCTAGTAACTGTAATTCCCCTCGCATGCTGGTTTAGACGTGACCAAATCTACACATGCTAATATTACTCTTTGTGACAGTGTTCCCGGGGGATCATTTGCAAATGCGCACGCAAGACTTTTGCATCTACTCACGGAAATGTTAATGAAGGTAAAACTATGAAAGTGAACAGGAAACAGCGCAGTCTGGAAGAGCCTAATGAAGCACAACGAAAGTAGTGTGCGACCAAATACCGAGCGTCATATTGGGGTAGCTTTTAGATATGGGATGGGGGTGAACGTGGACGGATAGACTGGTGGAAGGGAGAGAGATTCTGTCGATCATGACTGCGACATTCATGACAGAACGGACCGTCCGTCCAAAGGGTTTACATACACATAGCCTCTCATATGTATGCGTCGCGTATGGCACCCTACAATCCTGTGTGGGAGTATTAGGGCATTTCTTCTTCTTCGATCGCTGCAGAATTCGCTGGTTGAAGGGTAATCAGGGTATAATAGAAAGCCTTACTTACAGGATCACATATTTGGCAATCAGCCCCCATCACTTCACTTCCAAATGAAGCAACTTTGCCTCAATCTATTCCCTCTTAGGGGTCATCGCATTGTAGGGGTCCCACCTACACCCAACTTCAAAGCGGGTCAATTAGTCCTCAGCCCTTTCTCTACCATCTGACGTCAAACAAACTTTTATGGTTTTTACTGGTTTACCCCATTCCGGAACACACATCTAGGAGCTCCCATGTACGCCGCTCATTCCCCAGCCCCAAACGATTGGTTGAACACTCCCACTTCTGTTCTATCTTCTTACGTCGATCCAAATCTGACCAATTATATTCGCCTTCTTCCACGAGTATTCCACTGCTTCTGGTGTACCATCGCATGTTTTGACAGGGCATTGATCGGTGAGCCTTGTAGCGCGGGGATGGGACGTAATATAGGGACAGGGTGCTCCCCAGGGTCCTGGAAACCCTGGTTTCATTTGATACGAATTGAGCTGCACATGGCCGAAATGTTTGGCGGTTGAAAGATTGTTGAACCATCTTTCCAGGTAAATGTGCTTTCGCAACGTTACAGAAGATGCTAATAAATCCTGATAGCTCATTATGGCGATGGTGCGACCGCTACCTATTCAATTTCACCAGTGACCTCGCTGAAACGAAATGCACTGCAAAGAATGATCGACAACCATGCAGCATTGACGACATTGAATTCGCTTGTATACTGAAAGTCCTGGAGACCATGGTTTACAAGTGTTTGGCTTCTTACTAGCACGTACACCTGCCAAGTCTGCTTTTTCGCGTGGCCGTGATGACTCATATCGGATGCCATATTTTTCGACTTCTCAAAAGCATTCGATAGGGTCCCAAACGTCCCGCTGCTCCACAAACTCGAGTCTTGCGGGATTCAAGGGAAAATCCCTCGCTGGATCAAGGCGTTCCTATCAGACAGATCATTCCGAGTGAGAAT